ATTGTAATACTTTATACAGGAGCTTGATAGGTAGCCTAGTGGATAAATATATTATTAGATAGCTTACTACAGATTGCGTAACACAAGGCCCTGTGACTATATATATATAAAAAAATTAGTTATTGATATTCATTCAAATTCTATTCATCTTAAAAATCCTTGATCAGTTCATTCATAGATTCAATTAGGAACCATCATGTTTACTTTCTTTTCTATCATATCTATCTTATATTTAATTTCATTATAATGTAGAGATACGACAAACATCTCAAGATTGTAGATCTAACGATGTTAATAATAGATAGGCAAGAAATTATTGTTGATATGACGTTAGAGGCAAGGAGTATATACAGATAATAAAAAAAAATATATAGATATCTATAAGAAAATATATTATATGATATAGTGAGCAGTACCGCCTCAAGTATATACTGAGACTAAGTTTCAAAGGGTGTCATAGAGAGCTGCTGAAACACGATAATAAGTAGGTAAGCAACTTTTGGGATAAAAATAAGGTAGTCAAAATCTATATGAATAGACTTAAACACAAGGCGGCGGTGGGTAGGTGAGTGGAGGTATATAATATCATAGATGCGGCTTATATTATTAGGTGTAGGGTACTTAATACGTATACTAGCCTATCTTTACTAATATCTAACTCCATAGTAGGTAACGTCTTTATCTAATATAGTCAGAGATAGTAAGTGAGGTGTAGACTGAGAGAAATAGATATGTACTGATAAAAGTAAGAGTGAATATACCTGATATAGTAAGAAATGACAATTAATAATACTGAGAGTAACCCAGCACTAGAGCAGCTAAGCCTATACATTCCAACCGGAGCATGAGTGAGTGTCTCTAGTATTAATGATTCTACATTTCACCTTCTCTTTGTCAAGTCGGCGGATCACCGGTCTTATGCTTCGCGTAGTAAATGGAAAGTATTCATATAGGTCATTTAGTAATACCTGCTGGCCTATTTTCATTCATTACATCCACCCTCTTAGTCACTTTTCCTATTCTTATTCTTTATCTACTTACTATACCTCTGATTTTCATGCACATATTTATAACATATAATACCAATATTCCTTTTATGACATTCTAAACCTATATCACCACTATCTTACCTTTCATCTTCTCATCTATCCTCCACTTCCCATCTGATCTATTCCTTATTATCATTTCCATTCCGTTCCTCATTTTCTGCACCTTACATGTTTATCTTCCTCAAAAAATTCTTCCTCCTCTACCCTATTCTCCTATCCTTCTCCGCTTACTCTCTTCTCCATCTTCTTACACATCATAATCTCTCCTATTTTCATCCTACATTATATATCTACCTCTCTCATTAATATACTCTTCATCCTTTATCATATTCTCCTCATTTTTCTATAGCTTTACCTACCGCTCTCTATCTACTCTTCTTTACTTATCTAATCTACTAATTCATCTACTTCCCTATTCTCTCCCCCCCCCTTACCCTCACTAGACCTCTATTCTAACTCATCTATACTTCTATCTTCTTACATCTAACCATAACTAAAGTTCAAGTACTGATATGTCCACTCCTCAATTCAACATCGCTAGTCTATAACATAATATACCCTAATCGTATGCGAGCCTTTCTTCTAAGCGGATTCCCTACTAAAGAGGCGTACACTCCGAACGTGACTTCGTACTAATATACAATATTCGCCCAGTGACCAACATAACTCGTGAGCAGTAGGTAAGTATTACTACGTTATGACACTCCATCAATAGTAACCTACTCCTATACACCATAAATGTATCACTTCTTTCTTATTATCGACGCACGCGGAAAGTCGACCCAAACAAGCACGTACGTAAAAGATAACTTCATAATTGTCGGAGTTCTAACATTCATGTACAAAATATTAATATTTTATGTCTAGGTAGATACATTGGAGCTTCCTTTCAAGAATAATGTATGAGTGGCCATTCATACGCATGCGCTCTCCTTCTCATTTATTTTCTCCTTGAAAGAAACTCTCTATAAATAATCCATTAGGTAAATCACCTACCTAAGTAAATTCCCCAGTGTGAGAATTCCAAAAAATCTCATAAATAATATTCCATCTCCATCAAAATATCTTTTTATACAATAAAATGTTAGGTTAATTTCATTTTCATGATATGCCTTTTAAATCCAATATCAGTAAATAAATAAAATGTAGGATACCCTATATATAATTCCTCAGTAGTGTCACAATTATATCTCACTAATAAAACAACCACAATTTTCTTATGTGGAAAATAACATACAGATATATATATAATACACAAATATAGATAAAGACATAATCATCTAACATAAATTTTAGAACAATAGACCACTCTCTCTGCATATTATTTATAAAATTAACTACTTTACATTCTTATACGGTTATCCACTTTTACCGTTATCATGAAGTGAATAAGAGCTGTTTACCATCATACGGCGATTTTCAGTAATAATTATAACCGAAGCAAAATTATATATGATCTGGCGTAGAATTAAACGCAGAATAACAGAAACAGTACGTAATAAATTGATTTAATAATAGCAGAAAATATTAATGCCAGATTGAAGACGAAAATTGACCACCATTGCTAAAAAAGTCTATGTGTACCCTGTCTAGTGAGCTTGAGGCCAACTGCAAAGCCGTTTCACGATTTTTTTTTTTTTTCTTATAAAAATCGAAAAAGTTGATTTATCAGAAATCAATGACGTTTTACGTAGTTTTAAGCTTTGTGGCCAAGTTTTAAGCGATATGATGGGCCTTATTTTTTTTCTTTTTCTTTTTTTTTTTTAGCTAAAGGATTACAGTACGGTAAATAAGTCCATTTCATGTGGAACCTGTAAAGTAGCAACTGTTAACAGGTGAGCTTTTGAATCATTTACGAAAAATTAATGTTTTTTAAACGCCTTTAAAAACTGTCCAAATCCCGATATCCCTGACTAATCTGTCTAGAAACACGGAAAATTCCGGTGAATTTTGGGGGGATTTCGGAAATCCCGGATATCTCATAGGCTGTATTGGGTGGTGAAAAGCCCCTCGATAAGTCTTATGATAACGTCAGTCCAAATGGTGAGAGTCTCTGTAAATAAATACACGTATGGTACTGAAGAGTTTGGTGTTTACATATACGAACACTTATATGTACTGATATGAAAATTTACAGTCATGAACAGATAAAACTAAGGATTCATATTCTTGAACTTTCTCTCTCCCTCTCTCTTTTCTCTTCCTCCCTCTTTATTCCGTCTATCACTCTCTTTTCTTTCTCCCTCTCACTTGAGCGCGCCGCCTGAGTTGCTTGCCCTGCCCTTGTCACGTCGGCGGATCACAGCCTTTTGTCTCGAGTAGGGAAAGAAGGTCGTTAAAAGCGGCCGAAGTCCGTGACGTGTGATGTCTGCGATGAGACACGGCGCCTCTGGAGTTGGGTCATGAATGGAGTGGTAATAGTGTTTGTATTTCATTATTTTTTGGGATGGAAAGTTTTCAAGGGAGATCAAGGCCTCTTTCTTCGATTCACTTAGGCTCGTAGCTCTTCATTTCTTATTTTTGTGTTCTGTTCTGTTTGCCGTTTCTTTATGGGAGATAGAAAGAGAGAGAGAGAGAGAGAGAGAGAGAAAAGAGAATGAGCTTGCATATGGATGCCCTTCCATATCCCTAAGGAGCTTCTGTCATTATCCCTGATATAAAATGGTACATGAAAATTTGACGACATTGGTATCTTTTACGTCGGCTTTTTTGAAGAAAAAGAAGAGCATATGGAGAGACAGGAGGGAGACGAGGAGAATGAGGGAAAAGGGACAAGGAGGAGAAGGAACAGGGGAAAGAGAGGGATAATTTTAGAATCTAATAGGAAAATTGATTTTGTGTAAACAAAAAAGTTAAGTAAAAATAAATTGTTTGTCAAATATTCAAAACTAAATAAGTTAATCAATATCTAGCTATCTATTCATACATATACACATTTGTGTGTGATTGTAAAATAACTCAATACTGATATGGTACTAATTTGTTAGATATCAAAGGCTTTCGAATTGCAATAAAAAGAACATTTACTGTTATTGATAAGATAATACAGATATTAATGCGGTCTTAATGATTATTCCCTTAGGTTCAGAAAAATATAAGTTTTCTCGAAAACTATATTATTATTTTTAAAAAATGGATATAGACAGCAAAAAAACTTGCCAAACATTTCCATAGACTTTTGTGTTTTTTTAGCAAAAGCAGAATGGTCTTTCGACTTCTAACCAGAGTTAACCTTTCTTGTGAAAAGTTTTAGAATTATGAAGTGAAACTGGCGCATATAAAATGATATATCTAGTAGTAGCAATACTGTTGTAATAAGATAATAAACAGTATTGTAACCAAAATTACGTTGAGTATAACCATAACAACGGTCAAAAGAAGAGTAATAACAATAGTGACACATAAATACATACATATATATAATAAATATAGATATATAGTATAGATATATATATATATATATTACTATATATATATATATATATTTACCATATACATTATATATATATACATATATTATATAATATATATATATATAATATATATATATTTCTATAATATTGATGTTATATAATATATATTATATATATATATATAATATATATATAATATATATATAATTATATTATATATATACATATATTATGATGTATATATATCATATATATATAGTATACTTATACTATATATATATTATACATATATATACANGGCTGTTGCCTCTCAGCGTGCATCTCTTCTCAGCGTCCCTTTCAGCGCCCCTCTCAGCGTCCCTCTCAGCGCCCCTCTCAGCGTGTCACCCTCTTCAGCGTCCCTCTCAGCGCCCTTCTCAGCACTCTCCTCTTCAGTCCTCTATCGTCCCCTCTCAGCGTCCCCTCTCAGCCCTCTCAGCGTCCCTCTCAGCGTCCCTCTCAGCGTCCCTCTCAGCGCCCCTCTCAGCGTCCCTCTCAGGGTCCCTCTCAGCGTCCCTCTTCAGCGCCCCTCTCAGCTCCCTCTCAGCGCCCCTCTCAGCGTCCCTCTCAGCGCCCCTCTCAGCATCCCTCTCAGCGCCCCTCTCAGGCGTCCCAGCCTCTCAGCCGTCCCTCTCAGCGTCCCTTCTTCAGCGCCCTCTCAGCGTCCCTTCTCGCAGCTCCCCTCAGCGCCCCTCTCAGCGTCCCTCTCAGCGTCCCTCTCAGCGTCCCTCTCAGCGTCCCTCTCAGCGTCCCTCTCAGCGTCCCTCTCAGCGCCCCTCTCAGCGTCCCCTCTCAGCGCCCCTCTCAGCGCCCCTCTCAGCGCCCCTCTCAGCGCCCCTCTCAGCGCCCCTCTCAGCGCTCTCCTCCTCTCAGCGTCCCTCTCAGCGTCCCTCTCAGCGTCCCTCTCAGCGTCCCTCTCAGCGCCTTCTCAGCGTCCTCTCAGCGTCCCTCTCAGCGTCCCTCTCAGCGCCCCTCTCAGCGTCCCTCTCAGCGTCCCCCTCAGCGTCCCCCTCAGCGTCCCTCTCAGGCGTCCCCTCTCAGCCCCTCTCAGTCCCTCTCAGCGCCCCTCTCAGCGTCCCTCTCAGCGCCCTCTCAGCGTCCCTCTCAGTGTCCCTCTCAGCGTCCCTTCAGTCCCTTCTCAGCGTCCCTCTCACGTCCCCTCTCAGTGTCCCTCTCAGTGTCCCTCTCAGCGTCCCTCTCAGCGTCTCCCCTCAGCGCCCTCTTAGCGCGTCCCTCTCTCTCAGCGTCCCTCTCCTCTGTCTCCAGGCGTTCCTCTCAGCGTCCTCTCAGTGTCCCTCTCAGCGCCCCTCTCAGCTCGTCCCTCTCAGCTCTCAGCGTCCCTCTCAGCGTCCCTCAGCGCCCCTCTCAGTGGTGTCCCTCTCAGCGTCCCTCTGCCCCTCTCAGCCCCCTCTCAGCGTCCCTCTCAGTGTCTCCTCTCAGCGTCCCTCTCAGCCCCTCTCAGCCCTCTCAGCGTCTCAGCGCTCAGCTCCCTCTCAGTGTCCCTCTCAGCTCCCCCTCTCAGCGTCCCTCTCAGCGCCCCTTTCAGCGTCCCCCAGCGCCCTATCAGCGCCTCTCAGCGTCCTCTTCGCGTCCCTCTCTCCCTCTCAGCGTCCCTCTCAGCGCCCCTCTCAGCGTCCCTCTCAGTGTCCCTCTCAGCGTCCCTCTCAGCGTCCCTCTCAGCGCCCCTCTCAGGGGTCAGCGCCCCGTCTCATCTCAGCGTCCCTCTCAGCGTCCCTCTCAGCGTCCCTCTCAGCGTCCCTCTCAGTCTCAGCGTCCCTCTCAGCGTCCCTCTCCAGTGTCCCTCTCAGCGCCCCTCTCAGCGTCCCTCTCAGCGTCCCTCTCAGCCGTCCCTCTCAGCGTCCCTCTCAGCGCCTTCAGCGTCCCTCTCAGCGTCCCTCTCAGCGCACCCTCTCAGCGTCCCTCAGCGCCCCTCTCAGCGTCCCTCTCAGTGTCCCTCTCAGTGTCCCTCTTCAGCGTCCTCTCCCTCTCAGCGTCCCTCTCAGCGTCCCTCTCAGCGTCCCTCTCAGCAGCGTCCCTCTCAGCGTCCTCTCAGCGCCCCTCTCAGCGTCCCTCTCAGCGTCAGCGCCCTCTCAGCGTCAGCGCCCCTCTCAGCGTCCCTCTCCTCTCGTCCCTCTCAGCGTCCCCTCAGCGCCCCTCTCAGCGTCAGCCCTCTCAGGCGTCCCTCTCAGCGTCCCTCTCAGTGTCCCTCTCAGCGCCCTCTCAGCGCCCCTCTCAGGGTCCCTCTCAGCGTCCCTCTCAGTCCCTCTCAGCGTCCCTCTCAGCGTCCCTCTCAGCGCCCCTCTCAGCGTCCCTCTCAGCGTCCCTCTCAGCGCCCCTCTCAGCTCCCCCTCAGCGTCCCTCTCAGCGCCCCTCTCAGCGTCCTCTCAGTGTCCCTCTCAGCGTCCCCTCTCAGCGTCCCCCTCTCAGCGTCCCTCTCAGCGTCCCCTCTCAGCGTCCCTCTCAGCGCAGCCCCCTCTCAGCGTCCCTCTCAGCGTCCCCCTCAGCGTCCCTCTCAGCTCAGTGTCCCTCTCAGTGTCCCTCTCGTCAGCGCCCTCTCAGCGTCTCAGCGCCCCTCTCAGCGTCCCTCTCAGCGCTCAGTCCCCTCAGCGTCCCTTTCAGCGTCCCTCTCAGTCCCTCTCAGCGTCCCTTCTCAGCGCAGCGCCCCTCTCAGCGTCCCTCTCAGCGTCCCCCTCAGCGTCCCTCTCAGCGTCCCTCTCAGTCTCTCTCGTCCCTCTCAGCGTCCCCTCAGCGTCCCTCTCAGCGTCAGCTCTCAGTGTCCCTCTCAGCGTCCCTCTCAGCGTCCCCCTCAGCGTCCCTCTCAGCGTCCCTCAGCGTCCTCTCAGCGTCCCTCTCAGTGTCCCTCTCAGCGCCCCTATCAGCGCCCCTCTCAGCGTCCCTCTCAGCGCCCCCTCAGCGTCCCTCTCAGCGTCCCTCTCAGCGTCCCTCTCAGTGTCCCTCTCAGTGTCCCTCTCAGCGGTCAGCGTCCCTCTCAGCGTCCCTCTCCCTCTCAGCGTCCTCTCAGCCCCTCTCAGCGTCGCCCTCTCAGCGTCCCCTCAGCGCCCTCTCAGCGTCCCTCTCAGCGTCCCTCTTCAAGCGTCAGCGCCTCTCAGCGTCCCTCTCAGCGTCCCTCTCAGCGTCCCTCTCAGCGTCCCTCTCAGCGTCCCTCTCAGCGTCCCTCTCAGCGTCCCTCTCAGCGCCCCTCTCAGCGTCCCTCTCAGCGTCCCTCTCAGCGTCCCTCTCAGCGTCCCCCTCAGCGCCCTCTCAGCGTCCCTCTCAGCGTCCCTCTCAGTGTCCCTCTCAGCGTCCCTCTCAGTGTCCCTCTCAGCGTCCCTCTCAGCGTCCCTCTCAGCGTCCCCCTCAGCGCTCTCAGCGTCTCTCTCAGCGTCCCTCTCAGCGTTCCTCTCAGCGCCCCTCTCAGCGCCCCTCTTCAGCGCCCCTCTCAGCGTCCCTCTCTCAGCGTCCCCTCAGCGTCCCTCTCAGCGTCTCTCTCAGTGTCCCTCTCAGCGTCCCCTCAGCGTCCCTCTCCAGCGCCCCTCTCAGTGTCCCTCTCAGCGTCCCTCTCAGCGCCCTCTCAGCGTCCCTCTCAGCGTCCCTCTCAGCGTCCCTCTCAGCGTCAGCCCTCTCAGCGCCCCTCTCAGCGCAGCGTCCCTCTCAGCGTCCCTCTCAGTGTCCCTCTCAGCGCCCTCTCCCTCTCAGCGTCCCTCTCCCTCTCAGCGTCCCTCTCAGTGTCCCTCTCAGCCCCTCTCAGCGTCCCTCTCAGTGTCCTCTCAGCGCCCCTCTCAGCGTCCCTCTCAGCGTCCCTCTCAGCGTCCCTCTCAGCGCCCCTTTCAGCGTCCCTCTCAGCGTCCCTCTCAGTGTCCCTCTCAGCGCCCCTCTCAGCGTCCCTCTCAGCTCTCAGCATCCCTCTCAGCGCCCCTCTCAGCGCCCCCTCAGCGTCCCTCTCAGCGCCCCATTCAGCGCCCCTCTCAGCGTCCCTCTCAGCATCCCTCTCAGCGCCCCTCTCAGCGCCCCCCTCAGCGTCCCTCTCAGCGCCCCTCTTAGCGTACCTCTCAGCGCCCCTCTCAGCATCCCCTTCACCGTCCCTCGCCCCCCCCCCCCAGCAGCCTCTCTCAGCGCCCTCCTCAGCGTCCCTCAATCCCCCCCCTCCCTCAGCGTCTCCCTCGGTGCCTCCCTCGGCGTCCTCCTCAACGTCCCCTCAATCCCCCCCCTCCCTTCCCTCAGCGTCTCCCTCGGTGCCCTCCTCACAAAGGGCGAATCTGTGCAGGAAGGTCGAGGCGTCGGGAGGTGTAATCAAGGACCGACAAAGTAGATCGGGATTGAGGCTTCGGAGGGGGGGGGGGGAGAGGCAGCTCCCCGGTGGGGTGAGGGGAGACGGTGGGGGATGGGGAGATGGGAGACGGTAGGGGTGGGAGGGAGAACTAGAGACGGGGGAGGTTAGAGGTAGGGGGTAAGGGGGGGATAGGGGATGGGGGTGTTGGGGGACGTTGCTCTCCTTGCTTCTCCTCGGAAATTTGGGTTCTGGGTCGAGGTCCTGCCAGGTGTAGGAGGGAGAGAGAGAGAGGAGAGATGGATAGAAAGAGAACAGAGAAAGAAAGACAGACAACACAAAGAGAGTGGGAAAAGAAGAGGTAGAGAGAGAGAGGAAGAGGTATATAGAATGAGAAACAGAGAGAAAGGCAGGTAGCAACAAATAGAGTGGGGGAAAAGGAGAGGTAGGGAGAGAGAAAGAGAGAGACAGAGCGAGGGAGAGAGTGAGAGGCAACAAAAAGAGTGGGGGAAAGGTGAGGTAGAGATAGATAGATAAATAGAGGAAAAGAGAGAAAGACAGGCAGAAACAAATAGAGTGGGGGGAAAGGAGAGGTAGAGAAAGAGAAAGAGAGACAGAGGGAGAGATAGATAGATAGAGAGACAGACAGAAAGAGAGAAAGACTGGCAGCAACAAAAAGAGTGGGGGAAAAAGAAGGTAGAGAGAGAGAAAGAGAGAGACAGTGGGATAGATAGATAGAGAGAGAAAGAGACACAGATAGAGAGACTGGCAGCAACAAAGAGAGTGGAGGAAAGGAGAGAAAGAGAGAGACAGTGGGATAGATAGAGAGAGAGAGAGAAAGAGACACAGATAGAGAGACTGGCAGCAACAAAGAGAGTGGAGGAAAGGAGAGGAAGGGAGAGAGAAAGAGAGAGACATAGGGATAGAAAGAGAGAGAGAGACAGAGACAGAGACAGAGAGAAACTGGCAGCAACAAAGAGAGTGGGGAAAAGGAGAGGTAGCCAGAGAATAAGAGAGAATGAGAGAGCGGGATAGGACAAGCAGAAAGACAGGAAGGGAGTGAGAGAGAAACATTTACAGAGAGAGACAAACAGGTTCTATACGAGAGAGAAAGAGAGAAAAGCGAATGTGGAGAGAAAGAAAGAATGAGACCGAGATTGAGAGATAGAGAAAGAGAGAGAGAGAGACTGAGAAGCAAAAACAATGAGAAAGAAAAAAAACGAGAAAAGAGA